AGTTGATATTGAGGTAGTTTTAGAGGGAGCCGGATTCACCACTGTGACCTGTGAAGCAGCCATTTTTGCTGAGTGGCAGGAAAGGGTGTTAGAGAGAAGGGGCAAGAGAATGGGGATGCGGAGGCAGGGAGACAGCTTTGAGGACTGGTAGAATAGCGGTGACATGGTGGAAATGAGGAACAAGGGTAAGATTAGAGAAGTGAGCAAGGCTAATCTATACATGGCTTTGTAGACCACAGAGCAGTTGGTTTTCTGAGGTGCCAAGGAAATGATGTGATCTGATTTCTACTTTGTAAAGATTGTCTTCCTCCGAAAGTTAAATAAACAAATTAAATAAAATAAAACAATAATAAAAACAAAGAAACAAAAAACTAGTGAGATGGTTCAATGGGCAAAGACACTTGCCGCCAAGCCTAACAACCTGGGTTCCATTCCAGAATCCACCCACATGGTAGAAGAGTAGCAACTTCCATAGGCAGTCCTCTGACCCCTACATGAACATCACCCACCCACACACACACACAATGTGAAATAAACCACAGAGACCTCTTAAGTGCAGGGAGGAGATTTAATGGGATGAGGTCAATTGGGAGGCAGTTATGGCAGTCCCAGTGCTTGAACTAACTGCCTGGTTGTCATGAAGAATAGATTCTCCACTGAAAGGAGTTGGCTTTTTCTGTAAAAGAGAGGCCCACAAAGGATTCCAGCAGAAGAGAAACTCACTAGGACTAATGCTTTTGTTTGTTGACTTTTCACTCTTCTCTTTGAGATGGAGGTCTTGCTATATTGCCAGTCTGCCTTCAAACCATCACTCCTAGCTCCAACTAAAGGATTTTTCTGTTTTCTTAGTTTCTTGAGACAGCATCTGACACAGACCAGCCTTGTCTGGAACTCTCTATGTAGCTGGAGGTAGCTTTGAACTTCTGATCCTCCTGTCTCCACCTTTCCAGTGATTGAGATTCATTACAAGAGTATGCTAGTTCTTTCCCCCCAGGTATCTTTATCAGAGTTCGCCTATATATGTTTGTACCATGCATAACTGGTACCCAGAGAGAAGAGAGCACTGATCCCCCAAAACTGGAATTATGGATGGCTGTAAATCATGTAGGTGATGGGAACTAAACCCAGGTCCTCTACAAGGGCAAGTGCTCTTAACTGATGAGCAATCATTCTAGCCCCTTACATTAAAAAATAAATTTATTTCTTTTAGAATGTGCTAGTTCTTGTACTGAGCTTTACAAAGGAAGAAAGGGGTAGGAGGGCAAGTGGGCCAAGGTGAAAGCAGATCAGGACATAGGCTACTGCAACAGTCCAGACAGGAAATCCTGGCCACAAATGAGATGCCCTTCCCTCTGTGAAATGTGCTGTATACAAAGCACTTAGCATGGGAGCTGACAATAGAAAAGAGCAGTTGGCTGTCATTACCACTATTACTCCCGAAGCCTGGGAGACTGCTCTTCAGAAGGCTCTTAAGAGGTTCTTGTGCCCTTAAAAATGCAAATGAAATCTCATTTCTGGCATTAAAACCCTCAAGGGCCTTCTCATTGTGGAATGCAGAAACTTCATACTTCTTGCCATGACCTTCAAGGTCATCCATGGCCCAGCTCTGGCATTCTTTTCTGGTCTTAGTTCCTACCACTCAAGCAACTCCGATGACTTCGCGCCATCTCATCTTCTTCTGCTTTCTTCCCTCTAGATTTTCCCTGTGGTAGATATATGCCACTACAGCTTACACCGCCTTTCCTAATCACCCTGTCTAAGGGAGGGCCTGCCTCTTATGTCCAGCATAACAATTTTACATCCTTGGTAGGTTGTCTTAGGGCTGGGTATAACTCAGCAGCAGAGAAATTGGCTAGTGTGAGTGAGGCTCAGGCTAATGATTTGTTGTTGTTGTGAAAAGGTTTTTCTGGCTATCCTGGAACTCTGCTCTCTAAACCAGGCTGGCCTGGAACTCACAGAAATCCCCCTGCCTCTACCTCCCGAGTGCTGGGATTAAAGGAGTGAACCTCCACTGCCCAGCTCTCCCAGTCTAATTTTTAAGCCTGGTGTGGTAGTAGGTAAACACCTGTAACACCAGTCTGGCATAAAACAGATCTGTTGTAAAAATAAAGCAAATAATACAAATTAAATTAATAAAATGTCGTTTACTGTTTCTCCAACTAGAACAAATCTAGCTTGTGATCTTCAACACCTGAGACAGAGAAGACTCAAATTCAGGGAAGAACATCAACTGATTAACCTTAAAAGCCCAGTGGTAGTTACTTAACGTCTATAAATCTTCTACAAAGAGAATTAAAATAGAAACATACCTATAGTCATGTAACAAACCAACACTTGGGCAGCAATATTCCTAAAAGAAGCGTGTAGATGTTTGTTCAAACAGACGGACTCCTCACTTGGACCCAATCAAGATAACAATAAAAGGCTGGCATATCTGCCTTCATTTTGTCTCCTGTATACTCTTCAGATGAAAGGAGAGAGGTAAGTTAGCTTTAACCTTTCCTCGAGTTACCTAGGAATCATGGGACAGCAGAATCTTGTAGGACAGGTGGGAGTAATTATCCATGAGAGCAAACCCCTGCAGCAGAGCGATACCTATAGGAACCAAGATAACTCCAGCAAGAGGGGGAAGACGACAGGTATAAGGGCTTGGGCTCATCTTGCAAAACCAAAACTGAGACATCAACTAGATAATGTCCTTATCAGAACTACTTAATTATGGCTTACATTCTTTCCCCAGCTTCTCTGTTGCAACCTAAATCTCATGCTGCTACTCTGGAAGGATTATCTTGGACTCACTGGACCCCTTTATCATTTCCAAGATTGCAACATCAAATTTTTGTCTTCTTAGTGTACATTGGATGGGTAGCTGGACCTAGCTTACTGGGGTTGCTAGGGCCCAGATTTCTGCACCCCCAAAACCCATTATAGATCCTAAAATGGATGTATGCTTCTCTATCTCCCTAAACAACTTCAATGCAATTTTGTGTTCTTTAATCAGCATGATTTTACAGGACAATGAAAGAATCCCCAGAGAATTGACAGGACAATTAACACCATTTGCTCCTATACTAACCAGCCACAGGGAAGCTCCAGTGTCCTTACTTTTCCTGTATCTTAACTTACCCTGAAAAATGACTGCTGCTCTTCTTAGTAACTACCCTTCTGTGTCTTACAAACTGACTATATTTGGCCTGTAGAGTTGGTTTTTAAAAATATGTAATTATGTGTTGTGGTGATATAGGTCAGGAAGTAGACTAATGTGCACAAAGCTACGGGTTCAAGCCCTAGCACTACAAAAACAGGGTGTAATATCAGAACTCTGAAGGTGGATACAAGAGGATCAGAAATGCAAGGTCATCCTCAGCTAGGCCACATGAGACCTCTGGCTCAACAAAATTGGAATTACATACCCTCTGAATGCAAAAAGATCTTTCTTTCCCATCTGTTAGCCACGATTCTGGTTGGGTTAAGCAATGAGCTACAACATTATACTATAAACTCGAACTGCTTCATGATGAACTGCTTCAAGTTCAGGCAGGTCTGGGAAAAAATCTGGCTGTCACGGTTTAACAGTAACTTATTGAACCATTCCTTTATTGAACCATTCCTTTTTTTTTTCAGTAACTAATGCTGCAGGAGCATTTGCTATGTGTCAGGTTCCGTTCCTGTCTCACCTTCACTATAGCTAATTAATCCTCCAGATAAATCCAGGAAGACAGCAGGCTAGCAAAACAGCTCAGCAAGTGGTACTTGCTACCAAACCTGATGGCGCCCTGATGCCCACAGTGAAAAGATAACCTATTCCCAAAAGTTGTCCTCTTTGCCTCCCCATACCTTCTATGACATGAGTGCAGCCATTCCAAAAACGTAAAAGGAAAAAAAAAAAAAAAAAAAAAAAAAAAAAAAAAAACCAGCACTACACCTACTAAAGGTGAGTGATCACTACTAATAGTGAGTCACTATTAAGGACTAGGCAATCTAGCAGCCCTGAGCAGGGCCAGAGCTCTTAGTTACCTACTCGTTCAACCATGGGAGCCCCTTCTATTCTCTAGACACCAGTGAATGAGACAGATGGCAGCTCAGCTATAATCCACATTTTTAGAAGGCAGGTGTGGGGAGTTTGAAGCCAGTCTGGGCTGAGAGGCCTACAGATGAGTGTTTTTGCCTGCTGGGTATGGTAGCACACCCAGCACTTGGAGCAGAGAAAGATCTGAGTTCAAGGCCAGCCTGGTCTACAGAGTTCCAGGACAGTCAGAGCTGAATACTGCAGAGATCTTGTCACAAAGTGGTTTGTGTCCTATGCAACTAACATTGTTGCAGGGGCTTGCTACTCATTAACATCACTTCAAACTGTCAATAGCCAAGTAACTGTTTTATCTACAAAAAGCACAACTCAGAGAGTAAGAAGAGTAATTGTCAAAAAGAGTAAGAAGGCTCAGCAGTAGTAACCAGGTGGACCTTCATAACATAAGTGAAGCATTTTTGTAAACTGCAAAGTTCTGGGCCTGTGGCTTTTTAATTTAATTACATATGTGTGTACCCATGCTTATGCATGTCGTCCTAGGCAATTACCTGCTGGTCCATCTAACCAGTTTGACTGCAGCCAATTCTTAGTATTACTTAAAAGCTTCCTGCTTCATACCTAACTGCAACCAAAAGGCAAGCAGAGCTTTTGATTCAAAAATTATCTCTTGTTCCCCCAATACAAAACTGTTTTGTTGCTATTGTTCTTTGGTTAATAAAGCTTTATCTACACAAAGATGGTTAACAGGACATGTCTGAGAACTTGCAGTCTGAACGACCCCAGAAATCTAAGGGGTCTCTGTGTGTGTGTGTGTTTAGTAAATTGTACATTCTCAAATAGGAACTTTTCTAGTTCTACCAAGCCATTCCACCAGATAACCATTACTTGCCATATTTGGTGAGGGTTACCAAGTTACTTTACAGGGAAATGATAGGCAATCCTTAGTTTTTTACATTAAAGAAATCAAAAGTGGTTAATTTTAGAATTTATTTATTTGCATTTAAAAGGAACTGTTGACAATGACTCACTGAAATAATCCCAAGTGGGGAAATACAGCCAGGCATGCTGAAGCATGTTTATTCCACTGAACTTCTTAGATGGTCACTAACACAACTGAGTGCTTCACTGTTCTAAATATATGGTGTTGTAATTAATGTTCAATCATATCTTTCCTGAATATATAAAAATTAAAATACCAATTAAAAAACTAATATATATCCTCTTTAGATGCTTCTTACAAATACAATCTCAGCATTTTTAATAGTGGTAAGCTACAATATATAGTTGACCTATAGGCTCATAGTGCAAATAAAAAGAATGCAGCAGCTGACATTTCTAAAAATAAAAAACCATAAAATCCTTAAAAGGTTCATGCATAAAGCTATACTATGATGCAGGTGGCTGCACAACTAGAATGCTTGCTTAATTTTGCTGGCAAAATCAATGGGACTCATTTGCAGATTCAACTCTCCTCTTTGTATTTGGCTTTTCCAGTTTCACTTATGACACAAACATGCTATAAAAGAAGAAAAATTCACATTAGAAAAATATATTTGAGGTAAGAGAAACAATAGAGAACATACTACCAAACATACTACTTGTAACATGGACCAGTAACTCGAAGAGAATACATTTGGGGAACAAAGCAGTTCTGCTTTTATGTACGTTTGAAAAGGCAGGCATTGAAGGTGATGATAGTGCAAGCCTTTAATCCCATTAGAGACAGATGGATTCTCTGACTTAGAGGGCAGCCTGGTCTACAGAGAGATTCGGTACTTCACAGAGAAACTGCTATCTGTGTAGTCTTCTTAGTTACACCATGTTTGTTCATAAACTCCTCAGAGGGATTCTTGCCTCCAGAGTGGGAGGCAGGTATCTTACTGGGATAGAGATTTAAATAGAATTGTTTCTTATTTATCATATGAAATAAGAATGAGCTGTTCAACTATTCCAGCCAGTGAGTAGTAGTGTCCCCCTAGTCTGGCCAAGTTCCAGTTGTAAGAATGTGTGTACTTGACTACAGCTTTATGTGACTAATGGGAACCATCGGTCTGGTCAAATGATAAGGTGCTGGAAGGAGTAACAATTTTTTCCTAAATTTCTATGTGAGAAAAAAATAGCATTACTTACATTCAAATCCCTGAAGTATTCATTATAGTCAAGGGCATATCCAACAACAAACTTGTCCGGAATTTCAAATCCAACAACTGTAAAGAGTCACAGACAATTATTTAGACGGAGAAAATAGTGCTTTCAAATCTATTTGCAAATGTGCTTTCTTTACAAATGTTCTCTAAGCCATTGCAGAGTCACCTTTTTCAGTTATAAGGTGGATAAAATGATCGCCCAAAGGGCATCTACTTACAGTCTGGCCTATATCCAACACTTCGAGGGGTCCTTTTCACCAGCAAGCTGTAAATTACAAATTATTACATGTGATATATGGGAAAACAGAATTACAAAAGAAAACTGTTCTTGAGTAATATCATCTACATTTAGGATAAGGTCAGTTTTGCATACTCATAGGAAGACAGAAATGGAGAGCTACATTAGAGTTCACAGGACAAGGCCCCTGACTGGTCTCCACCTGGAACCTGGTAAGATGCTTCTGAAAGCAGAATCTTAATACCCCTTTGTCTGTTGAAGTGCAGATACTAAGGAAGATGAGTGGGTCAAGGTGCTAACAAGCAAAGATGAAAAGAAAGGTGGGTAAGACATGCTCTTTCATTGAGACTTTTAATAGCTGCCTCACAAATGGAAGTGCGTTAAGAACTTTTTTTTTTTTGCAATGGAGATTGAACAGTGTTAATGTATTTTAACACTGAGCTATCTACTACATTTTAGTTATATTTTCGATTGTTTGACTCTTGCTTAAAATGTGAGTTTCATTTTTTTTTAAACATTATTGAGTATTTATAGAAATCATGAATGTGCAAATGTAATTTGATATATATAAATATATACAAATATAAGGTAATTATCTGGATAGCTTTGCAAATTGAAGCTCTAGTACCAAAATAGTTAATGGTTTTTAAATTTTCACAGGAAGTTGCAAATGAAAAATCATACAAAAGGGAGGTCTCTAAGTGTTCTTTTCAGCAGATTATCAAACATAGGCATTGATGAACTAAGTGACCATGTGCAGATTTCAATTTTATATAAACTCATCCTGTGCAGTTCTGGTGAGTTTAATAACATGGAATTTTCTAATCACAGCTATAATCAAGATACTTTGAAATCAATGCAAGATTCCCTCCTGTATTCCCTCAACCCCTGGCACCCCTAATCTGTTCTTATCTGTATGACTTGGCCGTTTCAAAGTAGGTATCATACAGTATAATCATACAGTTCTATTACTTTGCTTTGAGAGGGACTTATTAAAATAGCTTTGGGTAAAACAGGGCAGATAAGCAGTTTAAACAGAAAATATCTGCTTTATGTACTGCTGAAAGTGTGATATAGGTGTACTACAGTATTGTTCGAATTTTGTTGCTTTTATTTTGGGCAATCACAAATGGTGTTGTGAACACTCTTGTACAGATTAAATTCAATGTGACTCCTGCCTACACTTTCCAAATGGGTGAACTGCCATACCTGGCTATCAACTTATATCAATGTGCACTTCTATTTCTCAGGGATAAGTACCCAGTATAATCTGTGAGGCCTTCTGGTAATTAGTTATATGTACAGTTTCCAAAGAAACTGTTAAAAGTGGCCGTACTATCATATATTCATATCAAATAGGTTTAATTTTCCTTTTGGGAAAAACCAAAACAAACGTTCAAAAAATTACCAGAGTATTCTCTGAGCACATACTACCTCCTAATAGACCCCCCCAAAAAAAATCACTGAGGTTTACTTGTAACATCAGAAGATGTCCATGAGGATGAAATGCTCAAACAGGCTTTATTAAAAAGATACATTTTGAACCTTTAAAAATGGTTTATAAAAGCCATTTAGTCAGCAGTGATGGTTCAGAGGGTAAGGCTATTGCTGCCAAGTCTACCAAGCTGTATTCTACCCCCACCCAAGACCAACAAGTTAGAGAACCAACTCCCCCAGGCTGTCCTCTGACCTACACAAGTGCATGTGGCACATGCCCATATCCCTGCCACAATAAATAAGTGTAATTAAAAAAATTTAAGTACCAGTTAATCATTCAAAAGACCTGAACTTTCCTCTACACAAAAACCACAGATTAGTCTAAGATAAAAATGAAATTGTGAAAGTAAAAAGCAAAGCAAACCCAATAAAACAAAATTTTTAACAATAAAAAATCCAGAAGCATCAACTGAGCCAGGTTCCCTGTATTGAAATCATCTCTCTACAGCTTATTAGAGCTAGCTTTCTGTAGGCAATTATGCTTTTCAACATTCTCATCTGTAAGGTGGAAGTTAACTATTGTAGGGTCAAACCATAACTATTGACAAAAACAGAAAGAACTATGAAAGCAAAAGCCAAACATCTAGGTACAGCAACGAAGATGTGGGACTGCTTATATCCTCAACTCCTATTTGTTATCATTGGTTTCTGTTTCACATCTATCCTTGGATGCTACTCAGGACAAATCTGGTATAAACACACTGCAACACCAATTGTTAATTGACTCTACATGTGTAAATAATGTTGGTCTGAAAGCACAGGTAACTGAGTTTGCCTCTTTTATATTCATATAAAAAGCTGGCCATGGCTGTATGTGTTTGTTATCTCAGCACTATGATGTTAGAGATGAATTCAAATGCTCACCCACCAAACAGTTTGTATGGCTAACACATTGAACTTGATTCAATTACAGACCCTGTCTCAGGCAATAGAGGAAGATATCCAATCACGCTCTGGCCCTTTGTACCTATGTACATTAACCTCCACATTGCATGTAGCACCCACACATTTAATAACTAAAGATATACATTTCTCTAAATGATTCAGCATAATTATGACATTGTAATAGGTATTAAAGTTTATGAGAGAATGTGCATGGGTTCACTGTAAACATTTAATTTTTAAATTAAAATTTTTAAACACATAAGTTTTAAAATTTCATTTTATTTTTTGTATGCTGTTTGGAGGACGTTTATCGTGCTACACCTATACTGTCAGCGGGAATTTCTAGGATTTGATTCTCTGATTGTGGAACACAATCAGGCTTGGCAGCAGGTGCCATCTTGCCAGCCCTTCTGACACTTTTATGAAGGATTTGAACATCTAGGGAGCTGAAGTCATCCTAAATCCAGGGCCCTATATATACTGTATTAGATACAAATGTAATTAACAAAGCATAATAAGTTTTTAAAGCACTGAAAGCATTTCTCCTTACCAAGAAGCAATTGCTTAATGCTACAAATGAAGAAAAACATGCTCCTTACAATGTCATACATACCTTGCAACCTTAACCATTTTGGGGTTGTAACGCTTGACCAAGGAAAGCAAAGTTTGCATTGTTTTGCCGGTGTCAATTATATCCTTTTAAGAAGAAGAGACATTCAATGGTAAGTTGTTAAGTAAAACTAGCATAATTTTAAAATCAGAGTCAATATCCAAACACAATATACAGAACCCCAGTGTTCTGGTGTTCCATGGCACATATTCTGGAACTTGTAACCCATATGGCTCTCAGCAACTGGTGGGAAGGAATGTCAGTTCCCAGAACTAGCCTGCACAGGTATGGTGAGGTCAAACCAATTAATTGAAGTGGGTACATACATGTAAGCACTGTACACACATGTATGTCTTTGTTTCTTTTCCATACAGTGTCTAGCTAAATAAGGCAAGCTAGTTCCTTAAACTCAAGATCCTCCTGCCAGCTAGGATGGCAGACAAACTATCATGTTTAATTCTGTAAATATTTTTTCAAGATAGGGAAAAGAGAAGGGGAAAAGGCAGGTGCATTGTGGTAGATGCCTGTAATCCCAGCACTTAACTTGGGAGGTACAGGCAGGTGGATGGAGTTGAATTTAGCCTGAGCTATTTAGCTACCTCTTTCTCAAAGAAACAAAAAGAACTGAAGGCAAAGCCTAGTCATAGAACATTTGTTTAGTATCTTCTGATTCCTATCATCACTATTAAATTTCCTTTGTTAAAAAAAACAAGGACTGGAGGAGGCTCAATGGTTATGTATACTAGCTGTGTAACCATGAGGACTGGAGTTTGGATTTTATTACTCACATTTAAAAGTAGGCATTTTGCTGCCACCTACAGGCCATGTGTGAGTAGGCAAGAAGCAGGAAGATTGCTGGGGCTTCCTAGCTTCCAGGTGATATAATAAAATATGAGCCCCTGGTTCAGAGAGACCTTGCAAAAAGCAAGAGATATCGCAAAAAGCAGACAGGATTATAAAACTGAATAAGAAACTAAGGGCAGAGAAATGACGCTGTGGAAAACGTGAAAAGTATAGAGAAAATGAAAATAGAGAACAAGATTGGTATGTATTTTGAAGCCACATTTTAAAAAAAAACATTTAAATGTTTATTGTACTTAAGAACTGAATCAATCAAGGTAGGAAGGCAATCGCAGAGTATAGAGTTCAGTAAGGCAGACAGATATGGAACAGGGAGACCACAAAATATGTGTGGGTGTGTGTAGGCTGTTAGATAGTGGCAAGTGAAAGAAAGTTAACATGGAAATGTAAGATTTTTATGTAGCATAGCTAAATGAGAATGTTACTGAGTAAATAAATGGTTCTTAAAGCTTAGCTCGGCCTGGCCATGGTGGCACACACCTTTAATCCCAGTACTCAGGAGGCAGTGAGTTGAGACCAGCCTGGTCTATATAAGAGCTAGTTCCAGGAAGCCTCAAAAAGTGACAGAAAACTTCTGTCTCAAGTAATCATTAACTACCCCCTAAATAAACCAACAACAGCAAAAACACTCAGCTCAATGTTCACTCAAGAAAACCTCACTGGTTTTCATCATATACATTAGGAGTCAGAAGGTGCTTGGCTGATGCTTTTGGATGCTAGGGAATCACATTGAAAAGCAACAAGCTACAGAGAGTGATGGTTTGAGTCTTTACTTCACTTACTGCCTGGTGACCTTGGGAATCTGTTTACCATTCTTGTGCTTGTTTCTCTATCTACAGTAGTAGCTGGCAAACTGAGCACTGAATAAACTTTATTGGTACTCAAGGGCATAATACCAAATGGAAAATGACACATGAACTGTAATTTTTATTAAGAATATGACTCCAAAGCAATAAAGAAATCCTGTCTCACAGGATTTGATACATGTCATCTTATGATAAAAGTAAATCACACCTTTCTACATAGCTATAGCTAGTTTTTTTTAACTTTCTTCATGAGCAGGAAGATAAATCACTTATCCTCTCTGTGGGTGTTTTTGTTGTTTCAAGCTAATTATGTAACACAGGTTAACCTAAATGGAATTAATTCAAGAGCTTCCTGAGCATCTGGGATTCCAGGCATGCCCTAATGTACATGGCTTCCCTTAGTGTTTAGAAAACACAATCTGTACCTCTCCCCCCATACCTTTAGTGTATAGATAATTACCTTTAGTTAAACATTATGCTAGAAAATTATACAGTATAATAAAGTAAATGCAGGACTTACTTCAACAATCAAGACATTCTAGAAGAAAAAAAAAGATGAAAATTAGAACATGAATTGTACATTTCCAATTAACTCTAGAAATTACCCAAACTCTTGCATGTATTTGATTATACTGAATCCTGCTTGAAACAAGTATACTATTAGAAAGAATATTTGACCATTTGTTCGATTTTTATATAAAGCTTTTAATCTTTAATGCAAAATATTAAGCAACTTGTGAATTTTCTCTGGATCTGTGTCCCATATGTAAACCTGAACCACCTGACCTTTTATTCTAACAACTATAATGCCTCCAAAAATCATAACAGAGAATGCAATTAAAATTCTATTTTCCCAACAAGCTACAGCTAATATAGCTGTTATGCACATATGTGGGGGGGGTTATACTAAGAAAAAATACTAATTGTTCCTCTTTGTACAATAAACCCATTCCAATCTACTCTTCTCTTTTTACTCTGTAGCCCAGGCTGGCCTAGAACTCATTATGTAGCCCAGACTGACCTCAAAAATGGCAGCAATATTTCTGTCTCAATCTATGGAATCCTGAGATTACAGTTGTGATTTACCATGTCTGGGCCCTCACCCTTTCTGTGTTTATGCTGAAGGAACAAGGCAGCATTTCACATGTCCCAATACTCACTAAATTTCTCAATGCACTCTCCCAAACAATCAACACCAGAATTATAACATCTTCTAAATTATTCTAAGATAGTAATTATCAAGGTAGAGTATATATATAGCATCTACTTGGTTTAATAAAATTCAACCTTTTTCACCCTATGCCCATAGGTTATTACATTTGAATGTTTGGTGGAACTGCTTTGGAAAGTGTGCCTTGTTACTGGAAGTAGGCCCTGAGGTTTCAGAAGTCCCAATCAGCCCTGGTCTCTAGTCCTCTCTGAACACAATTTGCAGATATATAATATAAACTACTGTTCCAGTGTCATGCTGCCAGCCTGCCTCCAGGTTCACCTGTAGGATGGTCCTAGACTCACCCTCTAAGTTATCTGGGTCACAGTATGTCTTCTTTAAAGCAATAGAATAGTAACTGAAGACAGGGGACAGGAAGATTGAGTCAGGGTACGAATAATGAAAAGAGGAGCCATAATAGAGGGAGCCATTATAGGTTTAAGGAGAAATCTAACACTAGGGAAATGTGGACATTCTCTGGAGAGAATAACAGAAATTGGGGGCAATCTAAAGGACAGATTACAAAACAAATGACTAACTATCTTAGTGTTATGAGGTCTATATAAATTCTAAGTTAAATACAAATTTAATGAGAGGAAAAAGCAATATAGCTATTGAAGTAAATCCTTTGCATAGTATTTGTTTGTCTATACATATACATGCATGAATTTCCTCAAAAGAAAAAAATGTTTCAAATAAACCCATAATCTCACTAAGTTAAACCACACTTGATTTTTTTATTCCTTGATTTTTTTCTACAATAAGCAGAATCTACTGCAACTGTCATAAAGATATTTTAGATGCAAAGATCTGTTTAAGATCAGGGCTGTGTAGTGGTACACAGCCATGAGGCCAAAGTTTTGAATAGCTTCTAAATGTGGACAAAGCACAATGAAAGGGAAGGAGGCCTAGCAGTTCTATACCCAATGGACAGGAGAGAGAGAATGAACCAACAGATTACAACTTGTCTGAAGTTTCCAAACACTGCTGATGGCAACATTTGTTAGTCATGACCCCAATACAGAACTTTAGAATTTCACAAGTTCCCCTGCAGATTTTCAGGGAAGTAGACAGTGAGCACTAAAATGTAAAGGCTAGAAGATTCAAGCTCTACTTCCTTGTGTGACTTTGAGGTCTCTTAATCCTGACCTCCACACACTCATACATGTCTTATTTGCTGTATTTACCAGAATACTTCTGTAATAGCTCTACTAATATTAACTGAGGTAGCTACCACTATCATTTTATCTCTGCATATTTCCCAGTTCCCTTACCCTCCCATGCACCCCCTGACACACACCCCATTCCCCAGGGAGAGGCATTCTAAGAAAGATCCACGAGGGATCATCAAAATCTGTCAAGTCATTAGGGGTAGGGCCTATGCCCTCCCTTGTGTCTCCTGGCTATGGGAGTGTCCCTCCATGGGGAATGTGCTCCCAAAGTCCTTTCTTGCACTAGGGGTACATCCTGATTCCACTGTCACAGGTCCCATAGTATACCCAGTCCTCCTAACTAATACCCAAGTTCAGGGGGCCTGATCTTGGGCCCTTTGCTCATCAGTTCTCTCTCTGCAAGTGGGTTCCAGGAGTTCAGCTCAGTGGGTTTAGCTGTGGTTGAATGCCTTCTCATTTTCTGAAGGATCCCCAAATTAGATTTTCAAAGAGGTATTACAGAAAGCAGTAATTAACAATGTGGATTTCTATTTTCTAATTGATTCTTGGTATAAATATGATTCTTTCCTTCCCCTTCAAGATACATACCTTCCCAGTTAAAGTTGAGAGATCATCCCCACCAATAACTTTTATGTCCCCTGTTGACTGATCATTCTAGTTAAGAAAAAACATAGTTTAAATGCATATTCTTAAATACAATCTTCAAATTACTATATGTAAGATAAATCTTGTAAGTTAGCTATCTAATGACCACAACATTATGGTATTCTAAATTATGAAATTAGGTTTCTAGAAATTAATGACTAGGTACATAAAGATTAGTAAATTTTTAAAAAAAAATCATACTTTTCTGAGTCCTGAAAATATAGAGTTCATCAATTTATGAATGGGCATATTATAGTTACTAGTCATCAATCAGGCACTTCTCGACCACAAAGTACATTTTATTAGCATAGCAGGTTTCTGCTTCTGGCCCTGTGACACTCCTGTGAATCACAAGTTGAAGGAGCTGGTATGTATCACATCCAACCCTGAGGATATGCCCCCATGAAATTCTAGCCCATATCCAAGTCATCTTCAGAACTGAGAAACCAGGTCCGTTAGAACATACTAACTCTGCTCTCATAGAAATTAGCAGAAACCTTTACAGAGGTTTCAAGGGAGAGCACTTAACACTCACTGTAGTTGTTGGTATAATTTGGATGTGCGGGAATCAAGACAGAAAACTGAATTGAAAACAGATTAATAAAAGAGCCTGGACTTGCTCTACTGGGAAAGCAACAAGTACTATACATAAAGCTACAGGAATTACCTTGTGTCAATCAGCACCATGATTGACAAAAAGTTAAAGGAACAAAGTAAAACCCAGAAACAGACCCAAAAACATATGACAATTTAGTATATGACAAAGATGGTATTTTGAGTCAGTAATTAAAAGATGAATTATTCAACAAATGGCATTTGGTCATCCATTTGAGAAAAGATAAAGCATGGTCCCTACCTCATACCATGCACAGATGGATTAAAATCTAAATGTAAAAAATAAAACTATAAGTGAATTAGAAGAAAATTGCTTACATTAACAGGGCCCAAACCTAGTCATGAACCCCATGAACTCCAACTGAAAAGATCTAACCAATATTCTTAATTCGTGTTGTATTTCAAAATAAGACCCATGTGCTGCTACTGTGTGGACCTGGGTTCAGTTCCCAGCACCTACCTGACAGCTTACAATTGCTTGTAACTCCAGTTAAGGGATCTAATGCCCTCTTCTTCTAACCTCAAAAACATCAAGCATGCACATGTCACACATACATGCATACTGGCAAACACATATAAAGATAAAAAGAACTACTAGAATCCAGGTGGTAGCTCAGCCTTTAATCCCAGCACTGGGGGGTGGTCAGGGGCAAGTTGATCAATCTCTTTTGAGCTCTAGGACAGACTGATCTACAGCACAAGTCCCAGGACAGCCAAGATTACACATAGCAACTACACCTCAAAAAATAAAAAGGTAGTTCAGTTGGTAGAATGTGTAAGGGGAAATGGGAAGTAACAAAATATTAAACCATACTACTAGGATATGCTATAAACTAAATGTTTGGCTTTTAATGCCATTTTGCATATTATTTCTTGTATTACTCTAATCTAAAACCCAGAATTTCAAACACACATAGCTAATTTTAATGAAATCAAAAAGAAAAATAACTGTAAAACCTGTAACTAGTTTGGAAGTAATTATGGTGTTACATGGCAATAACAAACCTTGGTAAATGCTGACATCTTGTGTAGAAAGATGGTATTACAGCCCACGGACAAAGAAATAAATACCTAAGAATGGAGCTGTGATTCAAAGGCTATGGCTATAGGGACAGAACATTCACAGGCAGTCTAAGACAAGCTAAAATCTCCAGTCCCACTGACCAATATTTGTTTATGTTTTACTGAAACTTTTCTTCAAGGAAAACAGCCTCCTTTTAAATGGGGCTAATAAAATGTATGGGCGGCATTATAGTTGCATACTTATATCAGTGCCTGGTGCCCTTGGAGGCAAAGAGTGCATCAGAGATCCCTGAGACTGGAGTTTAAGACCTCTTTGAAACACCATGTGGGTGCTAGGGATTGAAGCAGGTCTTCTGAAAGAGCAACCAGTGCTTTTGACTCATCTCACCAATCCCATAACTCTTATAAAACTGACTTCTCTTTATCTGGAGCTAGGACATCATCATATCCCCTGGAACTGGAGTTACATAGCTGTGAGCCATCTTCTGGGTGTTAGTTAACTAAGCTCTAGTCCTCCCCACAAGTAAGTGCTTATGACTGCTGAGCCATCTCTCTCACTGTACTCAATAGTAATTAACAGTTTTGGAAAATACTAACACAGTCAGGTGTGGCAAAGTCAGGTTTGGGAAGCTAATACAGAAGGACTATGAGCCACAGATTTTGATACTAGCCTGAGCAGTATCAAAAAACAAATTAAAATCCACGTAAAAATAAGACTATAGAAAAACCGTGCAGTAAGTAAGTAGATATCCCTCTTGGGTGACTATCAGACAATACAGTGTTGTGATGTAAAGTACCTATGAACAGCCAGAACTGGTTGCACCAGCTATTTGAAAAACTGAGTCAATCTAGACTAGCCTATGTAATAAGTTCAAAGTTAGTGAGAGTGGGTTTCAAACTAAAACACTAAAAAAAACTGGGAGGCTCAGGTGGTGGTGCACAGGCAGGTAGATCTGAGTTCAAAAGGTCAGCCTGGTTAGGCTCCAAAGCTACACTGAGAAACACTGTCTCAAAATAAAAATACATACAAAACTAGAATTGCCATATTCTTAAATTGTAAATTATACTTACGCAGTAGCTCTTCAGCCTGATAAAATCTACAGTCATGGGAATGGATCTATCACTATTTCTATTCAGTGCTTTAATGTAGTCCAGCAGGTCAGCAAAGAATTTATAGCCCCCCTTCAGCACACACAGGGCCACAATGTGATGGCCTCCCATCTCTTTCATGACATCTCGAGCAAGTCTTTCAGTCCTGCAATAAATCAGGTATAGAATATAAAATATTATTTTACAACAGACACCTCTTAAGCATTATTATACTGCCACAGGACACATCCTTTGTCCCCATGAAGATTATTGCTTCATAAATCAAACTTTTAAGTAAAGTGAATTTTCTATATGCCAATGGTAAGATTTTGGGGGTTGGGGAAGTTGACACAGGATAACCTCTATGTAGCCCACGTGTGAGATTACAGTTATACACCAACACATAACTCAACCTTTAAAACCAGGTACATGCCTATAATTCTAGCACTCTGGAAGCTGAAGCAGAAAGATTGGTATGGTTTTATGATCATACTATAGACAGCAAAGTACTAGGTCACTTTAGGCTACATAGTAAGATCCTGTCTCAAAAGAAAAAACAAGTACACTAGAACACCTGTCATGAAATTTAAAAACACAAATAAATAAGGTATAATGTTTGAAACTAACTAGATTGGGAAGTTTTGTTAAATTGCATTTTTCTAATATAAAACAATAGATTGTGAAGAGAAATTAACTCACAGACCACTGTTAAAATAAAATGATGTAACTTTAGAGATTAATTTGGCAATGAAATTTAGTATGCATCTTTCACTTGACCCAGAATTTCTACTTGCCTAAAGTTGAGCAAGTGTCAATGTGTGTATACATACGTGTTATTACTTTTAATATACTCCTAAGTGAAAAATAATGGAGATCTTAAGTGTCTACAAAACAATACAGTCATGATACATCCATGAATAGAATAGCATGTCACCTTTAAAACAAACCTGGGGGAGCTTGGAATGGTAGAGATCATGCCTAGTATGCACAGGAACGAGGGCATGATGGTACACCAGTAATTGGAGCAATAGGATCAGAACTTAAGATCATCCTCAGCTACACGGTGAGTTGGAATCCAGTCTAAGCTAAAATTTGGAACCTTTTTTCAAAAATATAACACACTGGGCATGGTGGCTCATACCTGTAAGTCTCCAAATAATGGGGGGGGGGTTCTTCCAAGACAGACTGAACTAAACAGTGAGACCCTATCTAACACACAACACATGCAAATATTTTTAAAAGATGCACTAATATTGAAAAGTCCAAAAATGTAGTACTAATAGTATATAACTATTATCACATACGTGACACAGTGTACACATAGGTAGTGTTCTAGTTAATAAATGTAAATGGACAATATTATCTCATTTACAAACAAATGAGGATCTTCCAGCCTTGTTTCAATGTTTATGTCTCAAACTGGATAATTAGTAAGACTTCCTAAGTCTTTTTGTGAAAAGAACTTTTAACAACAGAAAATTTTAGGGCTAGAGAGTTAGTTCAGCAATTAAGATCACTTGTTGTTTTAGCAGAGGACCTAAGTTCATTCAGTTCCCAGTACCCACACAGTGGCTCACAATGAATGGTCCAGAGGATTCATCATACTTTTCTGGCCTCCTGGAATGCATATGCTTACTTACATGCATGTAGGCACTCACACATTCAAATAAAATGTTTAACAGATAACCTTTGCTCATTAAGTTGGCCTTGATGTCAGGCAGTAGTAGTAGTGGTGGTACATGCCTTTAATCCCAGCACTTGGAAGGCAGAGCCAGGATCTGAGTTCAAGACCAGCAGCCATGTCTATAGAAGGAGTTCCAACCTTGTCTCACCCCCCCCCCAATACAAGTTGGCCTAGCTTATATTAAATCAGTTGCTAAGTTGGAATTAATGCAAGAAAAGGACCCTCCAGCTTAGGCTTGTAAGATGGCTCAGTGGGTTCGAGCACTTGTGCACGCATCATGACCAAAATTCAAATCCCCATAAAAACCAGATGTGGCAGTATCTGTTTGAAGCTGTAGCAATAGGGAACACAACCTAACTGAATCAGCATGTCCCATGTTCAGAGACACTAACTCAAGGGGATAGTACAGAAAACAAAGTAGGGCACCCAATGTCCTTCTCCAGTGTGTATTTACACAAATACATATCACATACATGCATATCACACACATAGACCTAAACCTTCAATTAAGATCTTATTTACCTGTCCATAATCAGTCCGTGAGGAATAAACACCTTTTCCAAATCCTCAGCATAATGATTAGGTATGCAAAATAAATCTAGGTCATAGCCTGGTTCATCATCACTAATCTGAAAAAGAAAGATAGCTGTTTCAAATCAGAGCTTTAGAAGATATCCATATTTAATGAAATTTAGAAAATAACCCTTATTTCAGAGGCATTTGGGTATGAGAGGGTGTGAAGGGCAATTTTAGTATTTTAGTATAAATAACATATATATATAAAACATATAAAATATATATATATATATCTCCTCTTCCTTCAGGTCACAAGTAGAAGATAACTTATGTGGAATATGCACTTCTTATTCTATATATTGAACATTGTGGACTCATGTTTATATGCAGGTTCATGTGCAAATGTGTATGGAGTCCAGGTTTTGAAAATGGGCCTACAGTTTATTATGTTTTGAGACCAGGTCTCTCATTGGCTAGTCTAGCTTGGCAGTAAGTCCTAGGGACCCATCCCCCCTGCCTGGTGCAAGGGTTATTTTAAGAAAGTGCTGTTTATCCAGGTGCTGGAAGTTACTTTATAGACTACCATTTCTCCCAATACCCCTAAGCAGTCTATTCTAGTAAATTAAATACAATCTCACACAGAAAAATTGTTATATCTTATTGGTTATCATATTAGTATGCCCAGAACCCAGCATACAAAACATTTAATGACATAAATGATATGGCACCTTTAATGGCAAAATATGACAGTTTTATGAATACAGCAGCAGAACCATGACAGCAAGGTAAATTTGCTGGGCACACCTGTTAACCCAGTACTTGGGTGGGGAACTGAGGTAAAGGTTTCTAAGTTTGAGGCCAGCATGGGTTACTGAGTTCCAGGTTAGCTAGGGGATACAAGGAAAAACCCTGTATTTAAAAGTACCCCATCCCCCAAACTCCAAAATCCTAAAAGCCACTATTCTTTGACAGTGAGTGTTATGGTGAGATGGGAGGGTCTCATTGACCTGAGGGCTGGCCTCAAACTCACTATGCAGCTTACCTTCAACTTCTGAACCTTCTTCCTCTTTAGTATTTGGACTACAAGCATGTGCTATCACAGCCAGTTTATATGGTGTTAGATATCAAACCCAGGGCTTCATGCATACCGGGTAAGCACACACTAACAGAGCTACATCTCCAGCCCTCTTTACACTAAAATCCAAAAACAAGCCAAACCAAACCAAAAAACTACAGGAAAACATTAAAGGATCACAAATTAATCTAATAAACAAAACTTCCTGAGGAAGGAAGAATTGTAATACTCATCCTTTACATTGCATTCAAGACTCATCTATGTTGGCAGTATCAGGACTGGTGTCACAGGAACTAGAACATCAATCTGCAAATGGTGGCACATACTTCTAGTACCAGGAGACAAAGGCAAGAGGATTATCACAAGTTAGAGGCCAAGGTGGCCTACATAGCGAGCTCTTGCTCCCCACCCAAAAAAATTCCCCAAACCAACTAGACTAATAGAAAATCTGGTTGCATAAGTTCTGACAGCTTTCAAGAAATATGGGTTAACACTTTGGCAACAAGTGGTCTAACTTTGAAAACAAACAGGGTTTCTCTGTAGCATTGGAGTCTGCCCTAGAACTCACTCTGTAGTCCAGGCTGGCTTTGAACTCAGATCCACCTGCCTCTGCCTACCTCTCAAGTGCTGGGATTAAAGGCGTGTGCCACCATTGTCCAGCTAAGAAAGTACCTCAAGGAAGTCATTGTATCATCCCCTCCAACAGCTCAACTGTTTCTGGCATAAGTTTCAACCATATCACACCCAGAATTTGTCAAACTACAGCACCTATTTAAATGGTCCAGTGCCTGGTTTCAGGTTCTATAGGTAAATTAAGAACTTCAAGGTTTGTTTCAGCCAGGCATTGGTGGTACACGCCTTTAATCCCAGCACTCAGGAGGCAGAGGCAGGCAGATCCATTGGGCCAGCCTGGTCTATCTACAGAGCTAGTTCCAGAACAAGTTTTAAAGCAATACAGAGAATCCCTGTTTGGAAGAACAAAAGCAAAACAAAAAGGAGTATTGTTTCAAATACAAATTCAATGTCTTATGTGTTTGAGAAAGGGTCTTCTATATAACTCCAGCTGTCCAGGAACTAGATATATAGATAACACTGCCTCAAACTTGCTATGATCCTCCTGCCTCTGTGTCCTGAGTGCTGAGATCATAGATGTATACCAACACACCCTACTCTGTCATTTATTCAAAGAATCCAAACACCAGAAAGATCTCCAAAATAGGAATCCTATTTGTCAAGACACCAAGCTGGTTTCTAATCCAAAAGTTTTGATTTCTAATTAAAACAGACTTCTATGTCAATTTTTGCTTTGTTATTTTGATAATATCTTGTTTTTTTATTTCAGATGGTCTCAACTCTGCAGTCTAGGCTAATCTGAATCTCACATCACAGCCCAAAGTGTCTGTATCCTAGGGAAATCTCCCTTAGCTTCCCAAATGGAGTTTACAGGTATGGGCCATTATATCCAGTTTATATTGATACAATTCTTCTCCAAAGGACAAATAGTCTAATGACTCCTATCGCCTGAGATATTTGTATTTGTATTCATGTGGGTGTATGCGTGTTAATGCAGGTGCACATATGGAGGCCACACCTTAATTTTTGTTCATTCTAAAAGTTGACATTGATTACTAGTTATAAAATTAACTTATTTAGCAACTGTTACTACCTCCTCCCTTTCCTGTCTAATCTCTATGTAACTTAGGCTGGCTTAGAACTCTTAACAATCTTCATGCCTTTGCCTTCCAAGCACTGGAATTACAAATGTGTTCCAGTAAACCTAAATTATACAAAACTACAAGACAGTGCATGCCTATAATCCCAGCACTTAAGCTAAGTTTTGGAAATTTCTCTGGGTCCCACCCCTAGACAAAGAACAGGTAACTAATAAACTGCTGGGTGAATAATTTCCAGGCAGTGACCCCTTATTAGTTGTTTGCTGCCAAGTTATCAACTTTGAAACCATTTACACAAAATATATGTGTGCATATACACATAAATATGTGTGTGTAACCAATAAAGAATAAGAGGCTACAACTTGAGAGATGGTGAACACTGGAGGAATTCTAAAGAGGGCAAATGGGAGGGAGAAAAGAGAAGAGGAATGTGATATAATTCTATTTTTTACAAAGTAGAATTTGCCAAATGTAGTGACAAATGAAATTATCTTTAATCCCAACACTTGGGAAGCAAAGGCAGGCAGATCTGAGTTCAACACCAGCTCATCTGCAGACTTAGCTCCAGGACCTCCAGGGCTATGCAGACAGACCCTGTCTCAGGAATAAAAGAAAATGGACAGAATTTTAAAAACCTTGTGTCTGAGTTACCAACTCTGAACAAAAACAAAAAGAAAATTAGCTGTTCTTTCCCTCTTACATATAAAAAAGTTAGAAATAAAATGGCTGGGCAGTAGTGGCCCATACCTTTAATCCCAGTACCCAACAGGCAAGAGTTCAAAAGGCCAGCTTGGGCTACAGAGGGAGTTCCAGACAGCCAAGGATACACAAACCCTGTGTCCTGAATCCAAAATAAATAAAATAGAAACCCTGGTCATCACAGTGTATTCCTATAATCCCAACACTTAAAGAACCTCAGACTGAAGTTTGAGAGCAGCCTGGCTCTCAACCCTCTAAACTACACCGAAAACAAAACTGGATGGCATTTTTTTTCTGATAGGATTAGTTCTTTTCCTAACTGCTGCAATAACTGGGACACAATAATTAAGATAGACATAGGTAACAGTACAATCAAAATTTATAGAAAGAAACCTGAGAGGAACTGTTCTAATTTTTTGGTGATCATAGTTAATTTTCACCTTACTTTAAACAGTTGATAGTAAAAGTGATAGGCAAAAAAATACATGTTTTAACCAATTCTGGTGGGGGGGGGCATGCTGAAGATGGCTCAGTGTATGTGTTGCTCTTGCAGACGACCTGGATTGGGTTCCGAGCACCTACATGGATCCTCACAATTGTATCTCCAGGTCTAGGAGATCAAGTGCCCTCTTCTGACCTCCATAGGCATACTAATCATGCACAGGCAAAACACTCATACACAAAATAGAAATAAATCCTAACAAATGAAAAAACATATCAAATGGATAGAGGTACAGCTCAGTATTAAAACATAGCATAAACCGGACATTGGTGGCACCCGCCCTTAATCCCAGCACTGAGGAGGTAGGAGGCAGCCCAATCTCTGAGTTCCAGGCAATGAGGCCAGCATGGTCTACAGAGCTAGCTTCAGGACAGGTTCTAAAATAGAGAAACCCTGTCACCAAAAACCAAAAAACAACAAAAAAAAATGCTCAATATATGTAAGATCCTGAGTTAGATCACCAAAACCCATTCCCTGTCTTCCCTCCCCTTCCCTCTGAGTAGTATACTAAGCATGGGGGAATAGTTATCTCTAATCTCCACACTCAGGAGGATAAGGTAGGTAGACTGAGAGTTTGGGAGATCAGCCTAACTACAAAATCCCTATCTCAAAAACAAACATCAACAAAAGCCCTTAGGGTGGGTGGTGGTGCCATACCTTTAGTTCTGGCAGTCCAGGAAGATCTGAGTTCAATGCCAGCCTGGTGTACAGAGCAAGTTCCAGGACAGGCTCCAAAGCAATACAGAGAAACCCTATCTTGAAGCCAAGTATGGTGACAAGATTGTTATCCTAGAACATGAAAGGCTAAAGCCACAGTAGTCAACATAGACCACTAAAGACTTTCTCAAAAAAGTAAAAAAAAAAGTCATCTAGCAAGGTAAAACTTCAGTTAGTAAATCACACTTTAATATGGGACATTTTGAAATTCAAGGATATGCTATATGAAGCATTTGATGCTTCACATTAACTTGCTTTTTTCTAAATGATAGAAGCAGCAAGCAGCATGTTTTATTTTTATATATATCAGGAATACCTAGGTCCAATTTCATGAAGGTGATCTAGTGCATGGTCACTTGGTATAAGTGTGTCACCAGTCATGTTAGTCAACATGACAGAGTATATATTATGTAACTTTAGGGTATTGACATTAGATTAAGTCTGCAAAAACATTTGCCAATGCCTATTACAGAGAAAGTTGTCTAACATCTTCCTATAGCTCCTAACTTAGCACTAAATGATTTAGATATGTTTCTTCACTAAGTCAGGTAGGGGGTTAGATTCCTCTTCCAGAGGACCTGGGTTCATTCCCAGCACCACCATGGCAGTTCACAATCATCTGAAATACCAGTTCTTTTTGGATCTGATGACCTCTTCTGGCCTCCAAGGCACAGAAAAAGCATATGGTGTACATACATGCAGGCAAAACAGCCATATACAGAAATATTAGAATTTAAAAAATCAAGTCAGTTAGAAGGCTTATAATAGCAACTAGCACTATTTAAGTGTTTGTCTTTGTTATTCCTAACATGCAGACAATTTAAAGGAAGGAAACTTAAAAAAAAAACAGGAATTTGCAAATAGTGAATTTCTTGATGTCCAAACAAAACTAAGAATAGCCACTTCTATGAGTAAGAACTAATTAACTCTACAAATCTCAAAACTTAAAAGTATCTGTAAAACTCCTCTATAACTGAATTAAATAACAGGCAATTTTTGGGAATAGGCTCCAGAGCTCCACCTTCCTTGTTTCTGTTGCTAATCTAAACCAGGGCTTAAAACTCTCTCCCCCTCTTAATGTGATAATGTGAAGGTACCATTGTTACTGGATTATTTTGAAAACTAATTTGGATCTATGTAAGGATGTTTATTATTCCTATTCGCACTCAAGCATTTCTCAGTACCTATTTTCACATTGTCTTAGTCCTTAAGAATACCAGCAGCCAGCACCTCAAGCCAGAAGATGGCACATGCTTGCATGTAATCCCTTCACTGAGGTCCAAGGCCTGGTTTACTTGGGGAATCAAGAGCTAGACAGCAAGAAACTGTTTAAACAAAAGCAGCTTGAGCCTAGATGAAGATACTGGAGGCCACACAAAATATACTCTAAGCATGCAGGACTCCAGGTCATTAAGAACAGAGTATTTTTGCCTTAAGCCACCCTGTCTAATATGATTATGAGACAGCATTTTTTAGGGCTCAAATGGTTATTAATTCACTCAAACTATTAATGAAAACTCGCCACAAACCAGACATTGTGCTACCTGCTAAAGCTACAATGGTGATTCTTGCCCTACAAAGCTGTTACCCCAGTGGAAGAGCTCACCTATAAGGAACAAAGCTCCTACCACAGAAATAAATGCAGCAGCGCATGGTGCTGCAATGGTTGGGAGGCAAGCGTCATTAGTTCATGAGCAGCCTGGTAGTTTGATCAACCAGAACTATACAGTAAGACCCTTTCTGAAAATATGAAAATAGTGGGAGCAACAATCAACAAGTAAACAGGTAACTGCTAGATCTAGAACACTGATATTAGTAAAGAATGATGTGACACTTATGACATTTAGCAGTAGGAGCGATAACCACAATAAAGCAGGCTAAAATATTTAATCGGAGGCAGGAGCTTTAAGTCATTTTAGCAATCAAGGTTGTGGAGCCAGGTAGGGGAGGATCAGGAAAAGATAGAGCCAATAGAAGAGGCAAATTCGAGAGGCTGCCTGGAGAAAAATCTGTATTTGAAAAATTACTAGAAGACTCAAGGGTATGGGCTTATCAAGTCAAATGTATGTCAACCCAAAACACAAACCATGGGAAAAAAAAAAACAAGGCTCCTTTTCACTGGTGTCTTCAGGTGGGAAAAGACGGGTTTTCACTACCAGGGCCGCAACGCGGATTCAATGGAGCAATTGCGCACTCCACAAATATGAATTATGACATCTGCAAAATTGGAGGCAAAGCCCAGGCCTGAACCTGCCCCCCCCATGCTGTCGTCTAGGGTGCTAGAACCCCATCCAGTGGTGCCCCGACTCTCTCCCTGGCCGCCAAGCCCCAAACTCCAAGAGCTGGGTCTCTCCCAAGCAATCTCCTCCGCCCTCTTCCCCTCTGCCTGCCAGATCATTCTTGAAGTCGCCCTCCGCCTCTCCCCCGCCTCGCGGCCGCTGGCCGCACATGTCATGCCCAACGCCATTTCCAGTTTCCTGGCCCACACGCAGCCAACCCTCTCCGGGTTCGCTGCTCCCGACCCCCGCCATTCCATCCTGCCCGCCGCCCTCTCGGGACAGACATCCCGCCAGATCCCGGGAGCCTGTGACCGCCCCCGCCCCCGGCCTTCCCCGTGGGCCCCAACGCCCATGGCCGGCCGCGCCCCGGAGCCCAGGCCCGCGGAGGCCTGGCTCTCTGGCCCTGCCCGAGAGTCCCGTGGCTCACCACGACGCTGGGACTGCGGGTCGCCATGGCGGGATCGGTCGGCTCGCTGCAGCAAAAAGCGATCTGAGGAGGAAGCCGGCGGAGGAGGCGCTAGGGTACGAGAAAGGCGCGAGGCAAATGCCCGACAAGCTTCTCCGCAGCCTCAGCAACCGCTTAGAGACTCCGCCGCCGAGGCCCCGCCCCCTCTGCCCGCCCAGGGCACGCCCCCAGGGGCGTGACTGGGCGTTCTCCCGCGCGCCTCCACAAGCTGCTTAGGCTAGGAAGTCCTGGGAATTTCCTTCTGGAAAAACCCAGCACTGGTCACACTTCCTGGCCGCTCCCAGGATCCCAGAGGACTCCCAAATAAACAAGCCTATCTCAGTCCGCATGTTTTTTTTTTTTTTTTTTTGCTGTTGTTGTTTTGGTTTATTCGAGACAGGGTTTCTCTGTGGCTGTGGAGCCTGTCCTGGAACTCTCTCTGTAGACCAGGCTGGCCTTGAACTCACAGAGATCCTCCTGCCTCTGCCTCCTGAGGGCAGGGATTAAAGGCGTGTGCTACCACCGCCCACCTAGTCCACATTTTTTCTCTCCTCATGACTCCTTTTTTTGTTTCTGGATTTTTTTTGTTTTGTTTTGTTTTGTTTTAGTTTTTCAAGACCAGGTTTCTCAGTGGTTTTAGAGGCTGTCCTGGAACTACCTCTGGCCTTGAATTCACAGAGATCCTCCTGCCTCTGCCTCTGCCTCCTGAGTGCTGAGATTAAAGGCGTGAACAACCAATGCCCGGCTCTCCTCGTGACTCTTAAACTGGTAGATAATTTATTCTGGTTCTAGTCATCACATGGTTCCTCAAGCCTGATGACCCCTTCCCAACACCTACTTGGTGGCTGGCTTCCATTTTCCTGATTCAGAAGTAGTTCTTTCAAAAATCCTTACTTGGTTTTAAGACTGGAGACCTATAACCCTGCTTTGTAACCTTGTAAAATCGACCCCAAACTAGTTTCTGCCTTTACATAGAATGAACATTTTAAGACAGACATGGTTAAAAAACAAACAAACAAACAAAACAAGCTTACCTGGGCAATTTAGTAAAAATAAAAAACTGTTTCAAAATAAAATTTGAAAAGGTATAATAGTGAAAGACCCCCAGAGACCCCAAGAGTTTGGAGCCTGTCAGGGAGAAGGCCCTTGCCTCCAAGAGACGAGACCAGACCACTGGATGCAAGTGCAAGAGGCGGTTTATTGTTTACACAGGTACCTGTGGACGCTTCAGTCTTTCGGGGGACTGAGCGTGCTGAGGTTAAAACTCAGGCAGTTTATATAGGGTTGGGGTGGCAAGAAGCAGGCTTACAGAAGCAGAAGCATGGTTACAGGGATTTCATTGTTTCATCTAAATGTAGCAGTTGTAGTTAACCAAGGACAGTTGGTTATTCGGGTTGGGCACAAAGAATACAAAGAATTCACTTATGACTATCTCAGCATACTGGACACTGTCCTGCTGACCTTGCTTTAGTCCAAGCTGCAGACCACAGATATCTGGTTGGCGTTGGATGAGAGCAGCACCTGGTTCCCTCCTGTACTTTTCTCATAGCTTGACCTTGGCAAATTAGCAAAAGCAATTTAAACAGGCAATAAGCATAGTGGGGGTCTTTCAGTAGGGATTGAGAAAGATATCTTGCCCTCATCCTCTGGCCTCCAATACGCACATACAAAGGAAAGAAATGCTTATAGGTTCATCTGTTACCAAGTAAGGTGTTGTCATCGCTTGCATCTTGTGGTGACATGCTTCTTTGTAATTCCAGTACTCTGGAGGCAGAGGTAGAATGGCAATTGTGAATTCCAGACCAGCCTGGATTACAAATTGAGACACTAATTAACTAATGTTTGAAAAAATGAAGAGCCAGGAGGATAGTGCAGCCAGAGTATGTGGGAGGCACTAGGTTCATTATTCTATACCACAATAGAGAATGGACAGCCAGGCAGTGGTGGCGCACGCCTTTAATCCCAGCACCAGCACTAGGGAGGCGGAGGCAGGCAGATCTCTGTGAGTTTAAGGACACCCTGGTCTACATACAGAGCTACTTCCAGGACAGCCAGGACTATTATACAGAGAAACCTTGTCTTAATAAAAAGAAAAAAAGAAAGAATGAATAAACAAATTAAGTAAAATGAGCATATTAACAGAATATTTGTAGTGATTAAAGGATTACACATGCATTAGTGTTGGTGTGGGCATATATATATATATATATATATATATATATATATATATATTAATTATAATATGTGGGAACAGTGGCTGTTACTGACATTTATTTTTGTCTCCAGTTTCCTACATGGAATTTGTTTTATATTTTGTTTGTCTATTGGATAATTTGTTTTTGAGACAGGTCCTTCCTTCAATAGTCCACTCTGGCTACAAAACTTACTATGTAGATGAGAATGGTCTGGAATGTCTGTTCCTTCTGTCTCCATCTCCCAAATCCTGGGATTATAGGCAGCTGGTTTTCCAATGTGGATTCAGAAAACAAAATCTGCCTCTATTTACTTTCAAGTGCAGCCAGCAGTTGCTTCCCCTAACACTACTCCTGATATCCCCGTTTTTGTTATCTCTAGCTTCTCTGTTACTATGGATACTGATATGAGAGACCTGATGGTAGACTTTTGAAACTGGTCAAGTCATTGTACTTCTTAGAACCTGTCTATTTCTTCTATGAATTAATGGCCGAAAAGATGGCTCACTGGGTATAGAGTTTGCTGTGCAAGCAAGAAAAAGGGACTAAGTTGGGGTCACCAACATCCATGTAAACGCCTGGCATGGTGTTTGTCTATAAGTCCAGCCCTGCTGGGACAGAGGCAGGCAGACCTACAGGCTTGCTGGCCAGGCAATCTAGCTGAAAAGATGAGCTTCTGATTCAGTGAGAGAATCTCTCTTCAAAAATAAGGTGGAGGGCAATAGAAGATGCCAGCCATCAACCTCTGGCCTCAGCTTATGCATACATACATGCATGGATGAGGGAACCCTCCCTCATGCACGTGCAATACATATGCACAAATGAAACTTTAAGATTTTTTAAATGCAAATAAACTGGGCATGCTGACTTGTGCCTATAGTCCCAGCTCCTCTGAGGTGGAGATAGGAAGATCAGCCCAGGAGTTCCCTCAGCAGACAGCCTTTGGATTAGAATGTCAGCAAGTCTCCAACCTACTCGACTACCCCCCATAAAATTGGGACTCACTAGGCCTTCACAGTCAAGTTAAGTCAAATTTTTGAAATCCTCTAACCCCTACTTCCTCTCTCTCCAAATAAATACCCAGAGAGATACAGCTCTATAGACTGGCTGTTCCGGTGGAAAACCTCAATTAATAGAACTGAGTACTAGTTGAAATGTTCAGTACCTACCCCACACTCGAGATACTTGTGAAGTTCAGTGTCTAACCAATGGCACTTATTACAAAGTATTACATCACTTTTCATTACGTATCAAGGAGGATGAGGGAAATGTGATGTGGAAATTGAGCAAGAAGAGTTATTTGATATAAGCAAATGTGACTGACAGGTTGATGTACAGCTATCCTCTTGGCAGTAGCATCTTTGTATATCATTGTCTTTGGGTATACTGGTCTGCAAATAACCACAGGTCCTGATGCAGAAACAACCTCAAGTCTTGAGGCATTTGCTGATGCAGTCCCTTTTCTCTGAAGGTTTGTTCTTCCTGGAGTTTATGTGGTTGGCTATATTGTATCCAAAAGGTAGTTGATAAATATTGACAAATGTTATCTGAGTGCTGCACAGTTATGAACCCTGATGAAAAACAAATTCAGTGGTTAACCTTTCATCATTTAGATGCTTTTCAACTTTTTAGTTTTTGTTTTTTTCAAGACAAGGTTTCTTGTTTCTGCCTCCCAAGTGCTGGGATTAAAGGCCTGCAACACCACCACCCAGGCTGCTAACAATTTTTTCCTTGTCTTTCTTTCTTTCTTTCTTTCTTTCTTTCTTTCTTTCTTTTTTTTTTTTTTTGTACCACTTTCCTCTGTCTTTTTGTCTTCTTTCTTCATTTTCTTTTTGTTGTTGTTATTGTTTTTTTGTTTGTTTGTTTGTTTGTTTTGAGACAGGGTTTCTCTGTTGTAGCCCTGGCTGTCCTGGAACTTGCTCTGTAGACCAGGCTGGCCCCAAACTCAGAGATCTGCCTGCCTCTGGCTCTCAAGTGCTGGGATTAAAAGCATGTGTGTCATCACTGCCCAGTTGCTTTTGAACTTCTGTACTAAACACCCACAATTCTGAAAATTACCAGTCAACCAAATAATGATTTTCAGGTGTGTACCCTATGATGCATGGCTTAACCACTGGATCAAGAACATTCAGACTGCCAGCTACATACATGTTCTCTGGCAAGACTCTTTTATCTTTGTTTCCTGAATGTATTTTACAAACAGGTACATATACGGTATCCTCTGTGGACTGGCCTCAAGACTAACAGTGTAGCAGCTTCCTTTATTTGCCAGGCTTTGGCTTGTATAAAATTGGCCGGTACAGCAAACATTCAGCGAGACTCATAATGAATGGCCTTTACTCTTCTTAGGCCCTCCTGGGAATGGGATGAGTTTCATGCCCTCCTTCTGTTATCAGTGAATTCGCTAAATGCTGTCCTTGAGAGAGGTATCTTAGTTATATTGTATTTGGAAAGGATTAGGGAAAGGGGAAAAGGTTGTCCCTGTTTGTCTTTGTTTAACTCTGTTGGAATGAGAACTATGTTCTCTGTGCATTTAACACACTCACAGTTAAGGCCGAAGCAGAAGTTACAACTAAAAAGCTGCAACCCACCAGACCCATCCTGACTTACTACAATGCAACTTTTATATAATAGTGGAACTTCATTAGAAAATGGAAAATCTGGGCTGGGGAGATGGGCTTTAGATTCCCAGAACTCACACAGAAGCTTCCATAGTTCCAGTGCATGGTAAAGAGAGGCTGATGAACGCCAAGGGCTGAAACACAAACCCCAGGTTCTGTGAGAAACTGTGCTTCAAACAGTGAGGTGGAACATGACAGAAGAGCACATATGATACTGACCTCTGACCTATCGAGTGGTCCACATAGTAATC